ACTACTACTACTACTACTACTACTACTACTACTACTACTACTACTACAGCTATGCAGCAGCAGCAGCAGGAGCAGGAGCAGGAGCAGGAGCAGAAGCAGTACAGTAGGAGTAGGAGTAGGAGTAGGAGTAGTAGGAGTAGCAGTAGTAGTAGTAGTAGTAGTAGTAGAAGTAGTAGTAGTAGTAGTACTAGTAGTAGTAGTCGTAGTCGTAGTCTAGTGGTAGTGGTAGTGGTAGTGGAGCTGGTAGTGGAGAAAGAGGATGTTGTCCGGCTGCAGCTTCCCACAAACTATCAGAAGGTAAATGCCAAGAAGGCTGGCGTTCAAGTGGGGGGTTGCCTGCCCGGGCCACCAGAAATGAAGAATAGGGTATTGGTCAGGTATCTGTAGGGGTATCGGTGAAACCCCACTCAAGTCCCGAAGAAATGAAACACTAATTACCTTCTCAAACATACATACCAATGCCATCACATGTTAGAGGGTACTGGTTTTGGGTGGGCCCCTATCAGTTTTGTCGTCAAATCACGTTTTCAAAACACGATGTCCAGCCGAAGACTACTGCTTACTTCTAGTAATTTTGTCGGGCACTCATATCAACATGAGTAAAATGGACCCATAATCTAAGTTCCTTTTTTTTTTTGAACTTAGACTTGTTTGGTGAAATAGAGTTTCTTTGCGGGTAGTTGACCACTTATATGTTTGATTGTTCTTCCCATTTTATAGATAGATCACCTTTCTTGAACTTCATGAGATTTGAGCCAACATATAAACGTGAGTGAAATTGACCCAGAGTCTATGCAAGCTCCCTTTTTGGGAATCAACTTTTCTTTTTAGTGAACTAAACGGGACTTTTCAATGGTGTTATCATGTTTTCAATTGATTGCTTTCCGTGTTTGATTGAATACATGCTTTTTTCCAACTTCATGAGATTTCAGGCCAACATATCAAGACCAGTTAAATTGACCAGAATCTCAGTTATTTGTTTGGAACTTAGAGTTTTGTGAAATAGACTTTATTTGAAGGAAATGGACGATCAAATGTTGTTGGCCATTTCATTTTGTTTAATTGCTTTTCCGATATTTTTTTTTACTGTGTCTACAGTTGATTGAAACCAAAGAACAAAACGTCTTCAATTTCAATCAATATTAAATTTGCACAATGCGCGATTAGCGGAAGTTCATAGAAAGCGTTTTCACTTGTCCAAAACCAAACATATTCACTTGTCAAAAGAAGCTTGACCAACGTGTTTTTAACCATTTTGTGAGTGTACACTAGAGAGAGAGCTTCCCCTGGCCCCTTCCTGCCCAACTCTCTCCTCCACTTTCTGAACATCTCGATGTCCTTTCTTCTCCTGTCTAATCTCTTTCTTATTCTTCCATGACCCACGAGCTCATTCACACAGCTCCGTTTCGAGCTGCTTGGGCTCCGCTGCTTCCTCCGCACCCTTTGGGCCCAGCCTCGCACCCGATCGCCCGAGCTTCTGTCCCTGAGCGCCCAGACTTTCGATCCCTGGCAGGCCTTGGCCTTGGAGAGTCCGAAGATGTCGATGGTCGATGGTGGACGATGGTCATGGAGCTCATTTGGTGGGTATGGATCAGGACCAATCACAGGATCCTCAAGACAATTAGAACCTGGAACCGTGAAAACATCAGAATTGATCAGTGTTGTTTTCTCTTAGTATAGAAGAGCAAAAGGGCTCAGAATGTTGCACCTTTTGCTCAATCATGATTATAGTATGTTAGTATCTCTGAAACCCATTTGTCATTGGGTTCAACCCATTTCAACCCAGGTGCCTCCAGTTCTGCAAATATGGACCATTCCACACTGAGGACCCCGACTGAGTTCAGATCCAAGGCGGTTGATGTCATTCTCCCAGATGCCCATGTCCTGGCCAGAGCATAATATTACAATACTATATAGTATTGTTATTATATATGAACTGTGAACCCAATTGACCCCTGTCTTGATAGGAGCAGATCATATTTTGGGTGGTTGGTGGTCCAAAATAGAGGTCACTCAGGTTCTGGTAATATAAATATATACTACTATATTACTGTAAACACATGGACCGCCACCGTTTACACACCAGAGCTTCTACACAAAGCAGCGTTTACACCGCAACATGTTCACGAAGCCCCCCCTCCACGATAACTATCGAGGTATCACACCAGACCACGCCACATGCCCTTCCAATCTCTGAGCTTTCTAGAAGTTCTTTCCCGCCGATCACGATCACCTGGACAATCCCTTCATGGGGCCTAGTAGTGCAGAGTAGTGTTAGTATGGAGGGTGTTCCAACAACTCTGATGAAGTGTTTTCCTTTACAACTGTACAGCCCGGTTTTGGGAGTTCCATATAGTACATTGCATACTCATACTCTTTCTCTTTCTCAGTGGTAAAACTGATCGAACGATCTCCAGCCCGGTGCATAGACCAGTCTCTCTGCTAGCAAGATGATGGGGTTGCTAACGATTGTCTTGAATGAGGTGAGTGACGCAACACCCGATTGTTGTTGTCTAACCACAACTTCAACTTGCATTTCAGTGTATATGTACCAAAAAATGCGCTGCTTCAATAAAAGGGTTGTCAACTCTTCTCGAAACAAGTTGCTTGACAAAGAAAGGATACTGCGTGTATTCCAAAGCATCCCCACTACCAAGGCATGGTGTTTAGGTGCTGATGGTTCATGGATGTTCATAGGGATCATCAAAACAAATCCCAAAACACTGGACTTGCATATTACCTACATTGATCCTTGAAACAACCACCCATTTTATATGTAAATCGTCAATATGTCTCGGCTCGCCCCCCCAAACCTAGCCCTTCCCGCGGGTCACACCTGACGGGTCTGTCCGAAGAGGCCTCAAAAGGGATCTGCAGATGAACATCACCCAAACATCTCCGTGTGAGGCTTCAGGGGTCAAAGGCCAGCGCGTGGGCAGATATTTGCATAGCTATTGCATACAAAATGCTTGGGGCATGAAACACAAGTTATGAGAAGAGCACTTGGTGAAACATCTGCCTGCCGTTTCCATGGTAACTATATGCACGCTAGTGAAACAGGTTTAAACCCTAGAAGCGGCAAGAATGACCTGGCCCTAGCTGGGCTTCCCAACTCCATCCCTGCGAGCTCTGGGCATTCTGCGGGGTGGCAGAGACTTGCGCGCCTCGTTTGCGCCGGAGCTCTGGGGTCCGGGTGAGGGGTGCACGGGGTGCATGTATCCTCCCAATGTCTTTCTGGCAGTCATCTGGTCATGAACAGCCTGGATGTACCCCGGGCCGGACCAAACCGCATTGAGGAACATACAAATCATCTATCTGTAAATAAAGAGAAGTACACCGTGTACCAAGGCACTTAGCGCTTGCTCCCTCTGTCTGTCTGTCTTTCTGTCTCGAGACTCACAAAGAGTTGTGTCGCCGCAAGGCGGCGTGCAACGAATTGGATTCGCAAGCGCATGCACGAATGACCAGATCAAGCAAAGGGGGGCCTCAAACAACGTTGGGGGTACATAGTCATGACTCCCATTTCTGTAAGATCGTGACACATGAAGGCATTGAAGGAGCTCGGGGACGGTCAAGTCTCAGCCGTTAAATATATGTGTAAGCCGTTAAAAAAAATATATAATGATGATGAAATAATCGCAAACAATCAGATGTCCTCACTGGACAACAAAGCCACCTCTCCCTCTTCAAGAAGAAATCATGTCAACCAGGAGACGCCTGGCAAAGTACCTACATTCAAGCCAATCCTCTGCAAAGGTTGTTGATGGGTTTGAGGTTCAGGATCAACCGCAGAGTCTCAAGGGAAACCTCAATATAATTATGTTCAGGGAACCTACCCCCGAAAAGGCTTCTTGACTTCCTGATAGCTTTCCAGGTACGATATTGAGCCACCTGTATTTCCTCCCTCCCCACTATCCACCAAGGTATGCACTCCCTGCAGGCGCTGCAGGAGGGAGCGACCTGCCGGCGGGCGCGGTCATTGGACCCTCCAGTTCTGTTCGGCTCTGATGCAAAAAGGACATGAGCTAGGCAGCTATGGTCCAACCGAAATAAAAATCGTCACATGCGGCCACGTAGTAGGGGTCATGGGTGGACAGTGGCCGCAATCGAAAAACATGCCCAACCGTCCAATTGCTTTCTCAATTTGGTGGGTCCTAAATGACTCCTAAATCAATCTTTCCGCCATCCAAAGTAATCATGGACACTTCTAAAATCATACTCAAAGACTTCATGGGATTGGAATATACTACATTGACCTAACCATCCAAATGTAGGCAAAGTCATACCCCAGACACTCCACGGGACTGGAAGATACTGTTGATGGACAAAATCCTGCACCACTTTGCGCACACTTTTCTTG